TATTGAAATATAAATTAAAATATCAATTTTTTTGCTTTTTTATATTTTTGTATGCACTGATAAATATATTTCTACTTGTAAAATTTGATGTTTTTCATTAAATTTGATGATATGGGCAATTAAGGGAAGATGTGCAATTGGAAAATATTATGTGCGCACTAGACAGCAGCCTTTACACTTAGGTATATAAAGGTGGACCAGAAAGGGTTAACAACATGCCTGTGTGCAGGGAACTACTTCTCATCCCATTTCATCATGGGAGGGGAGAGGTTTGAGAGCAACCAGCCGGAAGCCTATCTCTTTGGAGAGAACATGGACCTCAACTTCCTTGGGGGTCGCCCCACGCCTGTAAGTGGCAGCACTGTTATGGCCATCCTATCAGCTCTGACCCATATGCCTGCAGTTCCCCTACCCTGCCCCCCAGCCGAACGAGCCCACACGAACCCTTAGAAGTCTCTTTCACATCAGGAAAGAATCTCTACGCTTTGTCAAGTAGGTATTGGATGATTCAAACACCTCTTTGGTTGACATGTACAGCAAAACCATTTTGCTAGTCCACATATTTATTTTTATCAAGATTAACCTCATTATTAAGGTCTCAAATCTCTGTCTATGACCTTGTATAGTCCCTGTGTTTATAACCTTCATTCTATTAGGAGGACCTACAATATTTACTCATTTAGATATGATAAAGCACAATTTGGATTATACATTAAAGCCATGAGCGACCACATTGTAAGGCACGAATGAATTTCCCCTATTTTACTACTATAGCGAATCTCCCATGAGCGACTGTCTTCGTGAATGACAAAGGGACCACTAAAAATCACTTCTTGTCTATCAGGAGCGACCATTAAAAAATAAAATTACTATTTCATGTATCAAAAAATAATAAATTCAAAATTTTTCATTGAAAAATCATTGTGAAATATTCTGTGACACATTTATTACCCTCTTTTTGAACAAAGAACTAAAGGAAATAGGCGTTTTATTCTTTAATAATTTTGTAAAGGTTTTGAAAATAATAGTAAATTTGATGTTAAAATTTTCATTTATTTTAAATTAAATAAAATATATTGTAACTTTAAATAATGGTCATAAATTTTTTTAAATCTTAACGAAAAAATGAATGTTTTAAAAATGCTGTCATCTGGAGTTAGCGCTCGAAAAATCGCTTGCCAATCGCTGATATGCAAATAAGAATATTTCCAATATCAGGGCACTACTTAAAAAAAAAAACTCAATATTTTGATAAAATAATTCAAAGCTTTCCTGTTTATTTAAAAGTTTATAAAACAATGTGACACTAAATGGAAACATAGATACAAGAAAATAAGACCTAATCCAAATAATTTAATAGTGTGACATTTCGGTGACAGCATTGTCATCATCAGACAAAAGAATAAATGAGAAAAAATATCATAGCAATTTCTTAAATAGTACTGTTATCAAGTGTACTATTAAAATTACAAAAATATTAAAATTACAAAAATATTCTCACAATGAGTATCTTTTTTATTTAAAAAGCGCTTGAAAGCTAGCGTTTTTTAAATAAAAAAGATACTCATTGTGAGAATATTTTTGTAATTTTAATACTTTTTCACAATTTTATCAAGTGTACAGTGCTATTTTAGAACTGCTGTGATATTTTTTCTCATTCATTCTTTTGTCTGATGATGGTAACAATGTTGTTATTGAAACGTCGCACACTATTAAATTATTTGGATTAGGTCTTATTTTCTTTAATCTATAATCTATTATCCAAATTGTGCTTTATCCTAAATGGAAACATAACTGAAGATTTAATGTGAAAAATATAACTGAGTAATGCAAGGATTATGAGAGAATAAACTTATGAAAATATTAATTTGTATCCTTTGTATAATGTAGTGTTCAAAAAGTTATTGAAAACCCTTCATTTTGGTGATAAATTAAAAAAAAAAAGTATTTTTTTTTATTTTTAACCAAACTTTTAGGAGGTAAATAACTATTACTTGTTGTTGGTCTATTAGAAAATCTTGGGTATTATAAAGTGTGTGATAGTTTTTTGTCTTTCAATTAGTTTTCAAATAAAAAAATTGGACTTTACATATTATAAACTATAAAAGTCTAATCACACACAATTTTGAAATAGAAAAGTTATTTTATTTTGGGGCAATGTATCACCCAATTGCCACACAATATTACAAATGTCAGCTATTTGATCAAGACATCCTTCAAAATTTTAAGTTAAAAACGATGCAAAATATAATTTATACATTTTCTTTAGCTGATTCTCATTTAGTAAATTTTTAAGAGCCTTGTAAAGAAAAATGAAATTTAATGTGTATAACTAATAGATTGAGTATTTTCATATTTTAAAAACTAATATTTTAATAATTTAGAATGTTTGGGTAGAGGGGAGGAAGTTATAAAAATGATTTACTTAAACCTTTTCAAATACTTTATTTCAACATTTCAGCTACCTGCTGTTATCCATATTAACCCGGCATTGCGCGCGCGGGGTGAAAATTACCCATGGCAACATTTGAATAGAGAATTAACCAATAAAAAATCGGCTGAAGGAGATGTGGTTTTGTTTAGCTTCCTGACTCATCATCTAGTCTAAAGTTTTGGTTTCACATTTTGACAGCTCCCACTGAAATTCCTTCTATTGGCACTGTCGGGTAAAAATCACCCGGTGCGCGCACTCACGTAAGTTTTTTGTTGAATTTTTCTTTGATAACTTTTTTAAGAGAGATAAATAATTCAAATTAATAATTTAAAAAATGAATATAATAGGCTGATATATTTATCAGCCTATAAATCTATATAAAATGTAGGGAAGAAATGAGCCAGGCCCTTCCAATATTTTTCTCACTACAGTAAGGGCAATAGGAAATTGTTTATTTTAAAAAGAAGCTTATGCGCTAAAAATAGTTTATAATTTTGTGTGTTCTCAATATAGTTTGTTGTCAGTTGAATAAACAAGAACACAAAGATGCTCCATGCGCCTTTTATATTTATATTTTTGTTTACTTAGCTGATGCATAACAGTATAACTTTTAAGACCTTACTATGTTAGTTTTATCATTTATTACTTTTGTTTGAAAATGGTAACAATTTGTCACACACATATGAACTGTCATATACAATTTACTCTCTTGTTATCTTGGATATATATTAAATATAGCACTCTTAATTCTTTCTAAGGTGGATTGATAGCATTTTTTTCAGTGAGTGTTGACACTTCCACTTATCTTACCTATAGTCTATATTGTACCTTTAAAATTTAAAATTCTTCTACAGAAGAATAAAATTCATTAGCTTTATACCAATACAAATTCACTCCCATTCTTGAAAAAATCTAGTAAAACCTTTTTTTTTTTTTTGCCTTGTGACCCATTAGAAGTGATCAAAAGAATTGTCAGGAAATGAGGCATGCACAAAAAGGATGGGAGCAATGTCTGGGGAAGAAAGAAGTAGGGGGAGCACTTGGGGTAATCAGCAGAAATTAATGTCTTGGGTGATGTCTGACACTGGTCCTTCTACCAAAACTCCTGATGGCAGTTTCTATCCGACACTGATTAGGAAAGAGTTACTAGATGGGTTGTACTGTATTTTAGCAAACTGTTCTAGGGCAGGTCAAAGTTCGTCTCAATGGCACACAAATCCATATGGGTCCACGAGTTTTTTTTTGTCCCCATCACATATGTATATATTAAATAAATATATAGGTATAAATATTGTACATCATCTTTCTGCCTGGGTTTCTTGTCTACTTTTTACTCCATGCCTACATCTTGCATGTCTACACTTCCTGGCTTATTTAATTAGCCATTTTTTGTTTTTAATTTGACAATATATTTAAAAATTTAACCTTACTTGAATTCATTGTCCCAATGGAGCAAGAATTTGGTTACCATATCCAATTCTGGTGGGAACTCTGTTTAAATATTTACGTATCAATACAGTATAATCTCTCTGTAAAGAACATCATTAGTTGCAGAGCCAAAGTGTTCTTTAGAGAGAGATGTTCTCTTACCAGAGAGTAGGCAAATGGTAAACAATGGTAATTTTGGAGATGCAAGCTTTTCTTTTTAGAGAGGTGTCCTCTTATGGAGGTTCTCTTCTGTATTCTGAGAGCTGGTATGTGCAGGAGTCCGGACAGTCCTGCTCCCCATGCCTACAACATTGAGTTTATCTTTGACACCGACATCCGGTGTGCCATCACCATCTACTACTTCTGTACAGAGGAGATCACACAAAATGGAGTCATGTGAGTTGCCATCTCTTTTACTGAATAACAGGGTGTATTTGCTAATTGTAAAGAGAGTCCTTATAAACTTAGTTTTCACTTATATAACCCTTCCCCTTTGCAAATCCAAATAAATAGTCACAAGGTAATAAGACCAAATCCAAATAAATAAATAAATAGTGTCTGAAGATGGTAACAACGCTGTTACTGAAACGTCACACACTATTTATTTATTAGAATTTGGTCTTATTACCTTGTGTTTATAATCTAAATCCAAATTGTGCCTTACCAAATAAATAGTGTGCAATGTTTCTGTAAAAACATTATCACTGAAACATCATGCACTATTTATTTATTTGGATTTATTATCATCTTGTGTTTCTAATCTATAATCCAAATTGTACCTATCATTTAGAAAATTCTTACACCCTGAGGGAATGTTGAATTATAGTTAAGTACAGTGGAACCTTGTTGTAACTTGGTTTTAACATCATAAATCCCAAGTTTTTAACCTCAATATTGCTTGAATATAGCCATAATTCAAAATGAATGTTGGTTATAGATAGATTCGACTGTATATAGAGTGTGGTTCATATTTGGAAAATGGTTGTAGAACGACATTTGAAAATTATCCCCCGCATGGTTTCTTTTGAACCAAAAATCGAAATTTATTTTAATGAGAAATAACGATTATTTCCAACCTTCAGGATGAAATATGAAAGGATGAATTGTGAAGAGTAATGATAAATGGAAGAATTAAAGTGTCCAGGCATGGGAATTAAACCCACAATGTGTCTGCTTACCAGGCAGCTCCCATGTCCACTAGGCTACCCTGGATATTTTATTTTTCCATTTATCATTACTCTTCACAATTCATCCTTTCATACTTCATCCCTAAGGTAGAAATAATCGTTATTTCTCCTTAAAATAAATTTCGATTTTTGGTTCAAAAGAAACACATGCAGGATAATTTTAAAATGTCATTATACAATCAATAGCTGCATTATATTGTATTATAAAAAACCTAAGTAATTGTTATATATTTGTATTCTATTTTGGAAAGAATTAAATGTGAAGGTACTGTGTGTGTTGTAGTCTTCACTGTAACACTAAAAAACATTTATGTTGTTGTTTCTTATCCCCTTGTGTAAAGATTACACAAATTCTATGAGTTCATGCTCCTCGAGCTGTTTTATGATAAGCAGCGGTCTCTCCCAAAGGTCCTGTTTAATCATCTAATGCAAACCAAAATGTGTTCTGGAGCTGCAGGTGCCAAGCTACATTTTGGGCAAGTGGGTTATATTTTGGCCATCTTCAATGGCTTGAAATGGTCTGTTCTAAATCTTGTTAGTGTTGTTTGATGCTGTCTATTTCTGAAGATCAGAGCTCCTCCTGGGTCCACTCCACTGTACCAACTGTGCTTAGGTGGGATCCTCCAGTTCTTGTTTATTTTTCTATGGCAAGGGTTCTTTTGTGCCTTTTTCACTAGCGCATCAGCAGCTTCATTGCCTTCTATGCCAACGTGTGAGGGTATCCATTGAAGGTGAATTTTTGAGGTTTTTGGAGATAACCAATTATGTTCCTGCTTACTTTGTCTCTAAGTTCCCCTGTGTGACTCAAGTGTTGTATGGCACTTCTACTATCAGTAAAAATCCATATACAGTTAAACCCCGCTAATACGAACCCTGGATATAGCGAAGCTTCCCTTATAACGAACCCACGGTGATTCCCAATTCCATTCCATTGAAAATACCATCGTTATAACGAACTTTGCGATTTTTAAAATAACGAACCTATTTTCGGTCCCAAAATGATAAAATCTATTAAAAATACTATGCTTATAATGAACTTAAAATTACGATTTAAAAAAATTTCAAAACAAAATTTTGATCATGTTTCAGTTTACGGATCGCGATTTCAAAACAAAAAAATGAGCAGCATCGTTTGTTTTGATTTACATTCTATTTTTGCTGTATGTTGTATAAATTTTTACACATTATACTTTTATTTAATAGAATATCTTTGCATTCGACAATTTTTAAATAGAAGAAAATACAAATGGCTTCCAAAATAAAGAAAAGAAACAAAGAGTGGCATTCTAAAAAAACAGTGGCAGCATACCCTTTTAGAAGCGTTATATATCTAGGTTAACCTAGGCTAAAAAATAATTCCAAATAATTTTAAAGCCAGAAATGGTTTGAATAACAGGTTAAAAACAAAATTTAACATACACTTCAGAAGAATATGTGGAAACCGGAATTGAAAGAAGAAGAAGAAAAAAAAAAAACAGTTCCCCAAGTTCCCAGTGTCTCATGAGCCACAAACAAATCGACTTATAAATTCTCAAAATCTACCACTATAGTTCTATTTTTAGAATGGAATTCTTGTTAGGTATATGACTCATTCGGGGTTCGCGGATATTTCCACTGGCCGGCCGTTTTACCACCGATTTTGTGTTTGCAAATTGGCGTTTTTTATTCGAAATTTTACCGATCGCGCTATCGTATCAACATGTTTCGCGTCCGATTTTTCTGAATTGGGTACCTTTGATTCATCCTCAATTGATTCAGAATACACGGAGCTTTATTCCTTTGATGGAAATAATGATATTTTAAGACAATTCTGATTTCCAAATATCACTTTTCACTTTCAAACAACAAGGTATTAGAGGCATTTTTCAAATAAATATATAGTATTATATTATTTGAGAAAGATGTTCTAAAATACTCTTATACCTTTCAAATATATAATTAATAATGTTTTGCCTAGGGGATTTTGCTTAATTTTTAAATAATACATCTATATATATAAACATATATGATAATGATAAGAAGAACCTATTATCAAATGACTTCTTTTGATATTCAGCATTACTGTAAAGAAATAGTTCAATTTAGGGAATTAAAATAAAGTGACCATTATTAAGTGGGTGCCTTTTCCTATTTGTATGGCCGTTTTTTAATTATACGGTCTAAAAATTTGGGAAAGTTAAAAAAATGGCCAAACCGTGGCTATAGTGAACCAAAAGCCCTGTCCCATTGGGGTTCACTATAGAGGGGTTTTACTGTATCTTGTTAATTTTATTTCTGATGGATTTTAAGGCTTCAGGATGGCTATAAGTTCTGATATGAAGACTGAGCAAAAATCTAGGTTTCATCTGTTTATTTTCTCAATGCCATTTGTGGTTTTAATGAGACAGCCACTGCCAGAGTGTCCCAACTTGTCTCTGCTATCATCTGTATAGATAGTTATTGCATTTTTAGGAATGTTATTAATTATTTCTAATGATAATTGTTTTTAAGTATTCTGGATTTTGATATTGTTTGTTGGTGTGTTCATTTAAATGGGCATTAGAAAATAACATTTTTTTAGTGGTTCGAATGGAGAAATTTTTTCTGCTAAATAATTTTTTTCCACTTTATATTTTAAAAATCCATTTCTTTTGGCCTGGTGGAGAGGGCCTTCTTTTTTAAGTCTTGTATTAGATTCCCAATTAAGTATGTAATAGGAAGTTCTGTGCTTGTTTCCATAACTCTTGATTTTGTTTATATATTTTGGCATAATGTCTGCTTCGTAAAGTACAATATCTTTAGGGCAGGTATTTTAACCTTTTTTTATACCTTATCAAAAGCTTGTGTAGGGTCTAAAAAACCAGCTATAGTGTGGTTAATTGATTTTCTGTTTTGTGAATCTTTTACCTTTTGTGTGAAAAATAAGAGTTGGTCTATTGTCCCATGTCCTTTCCTAAATCCATATTGTTCTTCTGGTAAGAGATTTCTTGTGTCGAGGTGGTAGGTGAGTCGTCTGAGTATATTTTTACCACAAATACTTGTGAGGGAGATAGGTCGGTAGTTTTTTGGGTCATCAGCAGATTTGTCAAGTTTTTTAATAGGAATTATTGTTGCGGTTTACCAGTCTTGAGGCAATTTTCCAGGAGGTATTCAAAATATCAAGAAGTCTTTCTTTGCCATTTTTGCCCAATTTTGATATCATTTGACCATGGATTCCATCTGGCCCAGGAGTCTTGTTTAGGTCAGTGTTTTCTAATCTTTCATATTGATTTTTCATGAAAAATATTATGAGTGCTGGTGACATTTTTAGAGTCATGAATAATTTTTCGGCCTTTTTTTTTTCAACTTTCTTATCTTTTATTTCAAATTTGATTTTACTACTTATTTGATACTAGACGAAAGGCCCGGGCAACGCCCGGGGTTTACCCGAGTGCGAATATATTTTAAAAACGTTGTCTTGGGTGGTCGCTATTGACAGGGTGGTCTGTATAGACAGGTGGATGTATCACACAGCTGATAACAGGGTTGTCTAGAGTGGTCGCTATAGACAGGGTGGTCTGTATAGACAGGTGGATGTATCACACTGCTGATAACAGGGTTGCCTAAGGTGACCGCTATAGACAGGGTGGTCTGTATAGACAGGTGGATGTAACACACTGCTGATAACAGGGTTGTCTAGAATGGCCGCTATAGACAGGTGGATGTATCACACAGCTGATAACAGGGTTGTCTAGAGGGGGGCGGGCAGGGAGGTCACGTGTTTGCTGGCAGCCAATGGGCGCGCATTCTATCCGTGAGCTTCAGACAAACAAACAGACAGAATAAGGCAAATATATAAGTAGATGAATTACCTAATAGATTAGCAGCATTTTTGTCATTAGTTGCTGGGGTACCATCTGTATTCTTAATAATATTTGTGTTTTCAGTTTGTGGCTGGGCTTTGTCAATTCGTTTTGCCAAATGCCAAAGTTTTGTATTTGGGTTTCTTGGGTTCAGATTTTCACAAGTTTGTATCCTTTTTCCCTTTTCATATTTACGTATAATCTTTTTATTTTTGCATTCACAATGTTCAGTTCAGTTCTACAATTTGTTTGGTTTTGGGTGCACTTGTTTTGTAGTTCATTTCTCTTAGTGATAAGTGTTTGAATATCTTTTGCCTGGTGTGTATAATTTGGAATCCATTTCTTAATATTACCTATTGGTATTGAAACGTTGGCTGCCTTAATAATGGTGTTTTTGAAAGATATCCGAATATATTCCAGATCTTTTATTTTAGTGGGTGCTATTCCGAAATCTTCATCGGTGTTTTTCTGGTAGAGATTCCAATTAGCCTTTTTGAAGTTCCAGAATTTTTCTTTAATTGAGCTGGTTTTGGTCTTGGTGCTAATTTCTATCAAAATTGGCAAATGATCACGTTTGAAGATTGAGAGGACTATATTATACTTATCGGACAGAATCCTCTACCTAAGTCCTGAACACGCCGATGTTTATTCTGCGCGACGGGTGTTGCAGCATGCAAATCAGCATCTGATCTCATGGAATGAGGTGTAGCTTTCGTTGATCATGGCACCATGAATCAGGCACACTTTGGTGAAAGTCTGACTTTGCCTGTAGTTTGAGACTGTTTCTAACATGGAAGCAAACGCCTTTGCTACCGACTCTAACATGAGCACAGACGCAGCTCCTCTGTATCCCTGGAGTGGGACCCTTGCTGAGGTCTATCAACCGGGTCAGTTGAACTAAGGTCTACTCCTCTTCTAACAATACTGCTGTTGGTCAGCGGCTGCTTATTCATCAGAGTTATTCTGCTTGTTTAGCAGCTGGCCTTCATATCTGAAGGTCGTTCCCCTATCCGCCACCTGGGGACGCGCCCTGTAGCAGTCAGCTCTGCAGAGGGAAAAAAACATTTATTGATTGCGAATGTGCTAAATTTATCAGAAGGAATATCAATTTAGATTTATAATATTGGCTACCCAATATAGTCTCCCATGAGACCAACCACCTAAAAACCTAGTCTCCCATGGGAGATTCTCCTGGAATTTTATT